ATTTAATTTGCCCTAACTTAGTGCGTCCACACCGTAACAATTAACTTAGTAAAACAAATCAGCCACTCAAATGTTCCAAAATACCAACCCATTTGAATCCCTATACAAATGGCTAATCTTCACAATGATTATTATGAAGTCATAAATGTGCAAGATTATTCCCTTTGGTCTGATTTTGATGCCAAGTTGTATACATTATCATGGTATGCTTTAAAAAGTCTAAGAACTGGAACAGAAACTGAAAATTAAATCACTGAAGTTAGCACTATATATATATACAGGTTGAGCGCAGCTGATTCAGTAATTTATTACAATATGGATGTGCTCGCCAGAGACTAACGGCTGGTTTGTTAAAATTGTGAGAGGCCTGTCCTAATGATTATTCATATATATGGACATGTTTATACACAGATATATATACACATATCTAACTATCTGTCTTATGGATATGTATTCATATATCTACCTATCTGATGAATATGCATATGTAGTGATAACAACACACTTATTAGCGTATATATGGATATCCATATGGGTGAGTATTCATTGGGTCAGGCCTCACCTTCAGCTATATCCCCATCTCAGTTTCACAAACTTTATTCAACAATCTAAATTGCCATAACTGCCCCCTAATACCCTCTGAAAAATATTGTATACAAATCGGTATATATGGCAAGAATGAGCTGATACTTGGGAGGACTGAGTGGACTTCAACTGTGAGCAGCATTTTCTGGGATCTTTTTCCTATATTTATGGCGGTACCGTTCATGTCTGCAGATTATTTCTTGTATGACCTAATATAACTCTGTGTCGTCTACTAGTATATCATATTCAAATTTCCCTAACTTTGTACGTCCATACTGTTAAGATTGACCATTGAGTCGAGTCTAAATCTAATTATACTTGTGTTATCCACAAAAATTACTTTGGAGTTACATTCAGAATTAAGACACTCAACTGACATCTATCTTGTACTATGAAAGAGCTGCATAATTTTTAAACAGTCTTTCCCTAATTTGGAAACTTTCTAGTCTGAGTTGAGATGAAATATGGTTCTTGATATCTTCGCTAAGATTATCACGAAGCTTATTTTTAAAGCTTATATCCATGTGTGTAAGTCTACTTCTTGTGCCAAAAGAGGTCCTCAGCTTGGTACAAAATAAAAAGATAAGAGAAAATAAAAACATTATATTCTTCAAGCCTTCCTATATCTTGCACCGAATACTATACCATTGCATCTAAGGCAATAATATTATAATATCACCTTCCACATTTAAAAAGCTTAAAGCTATGTACACACCGATAAAACACAACATTCCGTGAAATAACAATTTTAAATATGTTTAAAATACGCCCCTTTTCCCTGTTGCTTTTCCTGTCAGAGTCGAGACTCCTTCGTGAAAATAAATTCTTATTGCGCAATTCACCCTACGACTACAGTAACCTCGATTTAACATTCGTTACGGTACTTACCTTGCAAGAATAGACTGGTCAGAAAATCGATCTAAACTGTCGAAAATTGGGTATAAAAAATTATAGAATCGGCTTCACACTAGAGACTCTCTTCGCCCTAACGTAAACAAGACTTTGTGACGTTTATGAAACAAAAGACGATCGCTCCGGCTCGCCCTAAACAGGAATTATGAATATTGATATTGATATCTATATTGATATCATTATTGTCACAAAACTGTTACTGGTATTAATCTAATTATTATTTTCAATATAGATGGCACCATTATCACCGTTATTACCGGTATTTATTTCATTATTATTGTAACATCTATAAAACAAAAGACGATCACTCCGGCCCGCCCTATTCTTTCTCTATCGCGACCTTTAGGGATATATTTCCTCCATGAGGATGTAATCCATAACACGGATATTGTATCTTTATTATTTTCTCATTCATGTAAATGTGTGCTTTCAGATAATAACACCGTGATATAAAGTTAACACGTACTGTCAGAAATCCCCGCGCCATCTATCGTTTTCCTTTCCAATTTATGTTGCCTATAGAAAGTTATCATTTGAATGCAACAGTTTTGGGGAAATTATATCTAGGTATGATTAGTGACTAGTAATCATGCTTAAAAAAGATAGCATATGCACATATATAAGCGAAAATGCCATATCATGAACAGATGATTCCCGAATAATGTGGTTTTCAAAGAGGTGCAATGTATCTATCATTTTTAGATATTCGGACTTTTTTTTACACTCTCTCTCTCTATCTATCTATCTGTACGATATGTTTACTATCTCTCTCTCTCTCTCTCTCTCTCTCTCTCTCTCTCTCTCTCTCTCTCTCTCTCTCTCTCTCTCTCTCTCTCTCTCTCTCTCTCTCTCTCTCTCTCTCTCTCTCTCTCTCTCTCTCTCTCTCTCTCTCTCTCTCTCTCTCTCTCTCTCTCTCTCTCTCTCTCTCTCTCTCTCTCTCTCTCTCTCTCTCCTTCTCTCTCTCTCTCTCTCTCTCTCTCTCTCCTCTCTCTCTCTCTCTCTTCTCTCTCTCTCTCTCTCTCTCTCTCTCTCTCTCTCTCTCTCTCTCTCTCTCTCTCTCTCTCTCTCTCTCTCTCTCTCTCTCTCTCTCTCTCTCTCTCTCTCTCAACTTATCTGTCTATCTGTCCGTCCATTTCTTGTTCTACACTTTTCCCCAAGGTGTATAACTCATTATTAATATTTACGTTTAATGTCTATATTTTCTTATTCTTATTCCCGGACTTTTAAATCTTATAATTTTGACAAGGCTGGACATCCTTGAATAAAATTTTACATCCAAATATTTCTTTTTGAACTGATCTGTGACACCATATTGATATCGCGGTTTTGGAATCACACTGAAAAAGTGACGAAAACATAAAATAAACATTCTGTTTTCAAGAATATTGGTCATACACTTTTCTAAATGTCAATATAAAGTTTATTACATTTTCTCTTTATTTTCAGTTTCAAATGATAACTAGTGCGTTTGCCTTTATAATCTTATAGGAGAATCCCTCTAAATTGGGCGCTTATTTTCTATGGCTGGGTTTCAAGAACGACATTATTTTAGCGGAAACAAAAGTAAAATAACTTTTATCAATAAAGATTAAAATTACCATAATCTTTTTTATGAATATTATTCTAGAGCTGTCTACATAGCCTGATGGAGTTTCGAATAAACTCAAGGCCCTTTCACACATAAATGACATTGAATATGACTGTACAGCTGCCAATTCGTGCATCACCTGGGTTGATACAGGACTGGCCGCTTTTCCGTATCAGCATTTCTGTTCTCTAAACATTAGATGATAAAGAAAATGGGTATGATTAATAAAATTAAACCATACACTATCATAAACGGATGAATATTAAAGCGTTTTAAGCAGGGAAAGTTCTTGCCTGAGATTATAGTGACTGCGTAGGGTCAAAGTCTGGTGATTATAGGATTCATTGCTTTACTTTCTTGTTTATTGCACTGCATAAAACAATATACGATGAATACATTATTAAGCTAATAATGTAACAACATGAAATGCACCCGCATCTCTCTATAAAAATTGCATTAGATGTATAACTTAAGAAACACGATATTGAATCTGTGAACTTGATTTATCTAAAAAGTATGTCTATTCACTGTGTGTGTTGCAAGGCTGATACGGCCAGTTGTTGGGTTGCCGTTCTTAAGGCGTTTTAAGCAGGGAAAGTTCTTGCCTGAAATCTCAAGCGTTTTTCTTGCCGTTATTAAGGCGTTTTAAGCAGGGATAGTTGTGCAACTTCCTCAGACATTCGGGCAATAGCTTGCAAGCGTCGTGCCAAAATGTTTCACAGATTAGGCGGACCTTAAAGCGTTTTAAGCAGGGAAAGTTCTTGCCTGAAATCTAAAGCGTTTTTCTTGCTAACAAGCATTTCGCTTGCTTTCTCAAGCGACCTCCGTAGATGGCTAGACTTGCGCTTGCTAAGTCAAGCGGTGTACCGTCACCATGGCAACGGCGTCGGTCGCGTACCCTACTGGTCACGATCCTTCGAATGCGGGCGTTGGCCAAGGACTCCGCTTAATATCTTACCAGATAAATATTTTTCTTCACGATATCTGATTCTGTAATTTTCTTAAAATCATATTCAAAGAAATTGAAATTAACTAAAAACGAAAGGAGATTATGAGAATAAAAAGTGTTTTACTTATAAGTAACAAATTATTATAAGACGAACAATTTACCTCTTGTTAAACTCCTCGTCTCTCTAAATCGAGAATATATCTACTTTTCTATGAAATAAAGAATATTTCAATTGAAAAAAAGTCTGAGAAATTCTAGCAACATTCTTCTGTTGATATTGTATTCGATGATTTATTATAATTAACCTCATAAAATCGTATATATGGGAATGGGTAGGCCTATATTTTAATTCAGGGATATTCATTTGTTTTGATAACGCGTCAGAATGAAAGGGCTGTCAATCGGAAGTGTGTCATTGTTTTAGAGGCACTTTAGGAAATTATATAGGAAAAAATATTGCGCTTTGTTAAGATGTTTGGGTAGATTTACTCTGCCATCTTGATGCGGCGCTAGCTTATCAGTTGTTTTGAATTGCGCGCTCAAAACTGTTACCAACCGCCAGTGAAATAAACTCCACCCTCGACTTGTGCATAAGTTATCTCTTTCCGAGATTGTTGGTGGGAATATTGCTTTTAAAACCCAAGAATGTATATTTTGTGTGTTATATTGATATTTCTATGCTCATCAAGGACAGTTATGATTTGTACTTTATAAAAAGACACTTCCACGTGTCTGGCATCACTGAACAGGGCCTGCCTGCCTTGGAAAGCGTTTTAAGCAGGGAACGGTACAGCGCTTGGCCTATCGGCAAGAATTCTTGCTCAAGCGCTCCCCTGCTTAAAACGCTTTTAGTTTAATGGATATGTACAGGGCAGTAGATTTATTAGTACCAGGCACTGGTACTAATAAATATCCACACGTAGTTTTCGTTTGTAATATATTCTTAAAACGAAAATGAGTAAAAGATCCCTTCAATGTCTTTATTCTTGTGAGCCAAATCTTAATTTTTCTTTCTAACTAAAATTATTATGCAATGTTCATTTCATATATTCTTCTTTTATTTATAAAGGTTTGCTAATGTTTGATTTCCAAATGTCCAAACTTAACTTTTTGTTTAATAAACTTCAACACTCATTTTTATGATACTTAAAGCGTTTTAAGCAGGGGAGCTCTTGGCAAGAATTCTTGCCAAGCGCTGTACCGTTCCCTGCTTAAAACGCTTTTAGTTTCACTACCATGTCATATACATGTGGTTTTGCGTGTGTGTGTGTGCATATGTTTGTGCATGTGTGTTTTGTATGTGCGTGTGTGTAAATAGATGTGTTGTATATATAGGTACACATTATCTCTGTAGAGTAGATTTTTCAGAATTAGAAATGAAAGGGGTAGACCGCGTTAAAAAAGATAAGAAGTGTCAATAAAATCGCCATTAAGATTTCCCTTCCTCATTTTCCCCCTCCAGCAGCTATCCAGGCATTGACCTCCTCCTCCAGGAGGACTAGAGGTCCCGCTGAGTCCAGCACAAGGTCGTGGAACTTGCGGACATCGAAGGCCTCTCCGAGCTCGGCGGCAGCTCTGGCCCGCAGGTTGGAAATGGTCAGCTGGCCGACCTTGTAAGCGACTGCCTGACCCGGCTGGGTGATGTAGCGGTCGACCTCGTTCTTCAGAGAGAAAGAAAGGAGGAAAATTATATGCGGTCTAAGAATTCATATCTTAAGGGTGACTTTAATTACAATTTTAGATTGTTTCTTAACACGAGATGCGATTCAGGAAATTTCAGATTGATAAGGTGAAGCTGTCTACACATCGAGTACATCCAAAAATCACACCCACCTCTATGTTCTTGAGAGACAGGGCAGAGTGTTGCGTCATAAAGTCAACGGCCTCCTGACGAGTCCAGCCAAGGGCGTGAATGCCCGTGTCCACCACCAGACGGCAAGCTCTGAAGATCTCGAAGGAATAATGTCCGTACCTGCAGAAGGGGAGATACTGAAGGAGTCCCTGTTTGTAGCTCATCTGCTTGTCATCTTTGATCGCCCCGTCGCTCGCTCACTCTCCCTCGCTTTGCCTATTATCTTCTCTCACCTTTCTCTATTACTTCTTCATCAACCAACGACGTATCTGCTAAACACCCGCCTCCAACCCTCATTCACAACAACAAACCAGCATCATGCTCTTCTGCAAAGTCAACTCCTACAGGCACGTACCTGTCGTAGGGATCCCCGAAGAGGCCCAAGTCGAAGCCAAGACTCTCGGAATAGAGCCCCCATCCCTCGAGGAAGCCGGTGTTCATGGGGAACCTGGAGGGGGCCTGGTAGTAGTTCCTGTCTTCCATGACCCTCCTGAAGAAGGGCATGCTGGAGGATTCGAGGCTGTGAGACCCCTGCAGGTGGTGACCCGGGTTGCCCTCGTGCAGGGAAAGGGTCATGATCTCGTAGGTCGGCCTTGAGGCGAGAGGTATGGTTAGTGAGGGAAGGAGGGAGAGGGAAGGGAAAAAGAGAGAGGGAAGGGAAAAAGGGAGAGGAAAGAGGAAGAAAAGGAACGAGACAACAGGGAGAAAGCAATATAATACAGAAAAGATATAGACTTGATAGTAAATGTGGAACAGAACCTACAACTGACTATTTTTGATCCCACAATCCTCCCTATATATCAATTCTCTTATCATGATATCTGCATTAGTAATCGAACAGCGATACATTTCAATAAAATATATATATACCAAACTGCTTACTGTTTATCGTAGAAATAAGTGTTAACGTAGAAGATGCCAGGCCGAGACCCGTCGTAGGATCCCGTCAGGTAGAAGGCAGCCGTGCCGTCGGGAGAGGGTCTTGCCACCAACCTGCACCGAACACGCAAATGACAAAGCCATCGTCGCTAGGGTTCGAACACTGTTATCTTCATTTCCTTTTGATATTAATACTTAGCTATGGTCCTTTTGGTGTCAACACAAAGGCATGATCCTCTTGGTACCTACACTAGTACCGCTATGATCCGTTAGGTACCAACAGTCTCGTCTTCGTTATCTTTACTTAAAAATACTAATCCCAAGTCTCAATATTTTCCATTTCCTTTCTCACATCCTATAACACACACACACACACACACACACACACACACACACACACACACACACACACACACACACACACACACACACACACACACACACACACACAAATAAAACTGAAATAAAACGTACTGAAGCTCCGTCTCCGGCAGGTTTACGAACACCTTGGAGAGTTCAGGAGGAATCACTTCGTAACTCAGGCGTTCGAAGTAAGCCATCATTTCGTCCGCGTCGTTCAGGTAGAAGTTCGAGTCGTTTCGAATCATGGCCGAGAACTCAGGCACGCTCAGGTCGTAGCCGAGTTCTTCGATGACCTAGAACGCGGTGGGTCGTTGGTCAGCTTTCTGGGGGTATCGTGTTCGGTCATCCCCCCCTCCCCCCTTCGTCTCCCTCTCTATAGCAATGCACTCCGTTTGGTCGCTACTACTGATATTACTACAGCTGCTACTACTACTGTGTCTGTTACTGCTACTACTACTATACTGCTGTTACTTCTATTACTACTGCTATTATCACTGCTATTATTACTACTGCTACAACTACTGATATTACTTCTGCTGTTACTACTATTATTACTATGTCTATTACTGCTACCACTACTATACTGCTGCTACTACTATTACTAATACCATTACTATTACTGTTTCTACTATTACCACTGCTATTACTCCTACTGCCACTCCCTCTCGCCATTACCATTTTACTTGATACCTGCAAAGACCCACTGCATTTACCTTCGCCATTTCTCCTTCAATACGCGTGACTTCATCCAGACCGAGTTGGTGGATGTCAGCCACGCCCAGATTGGTCGAGGTGTGGAATCTGGCGGGTGATGCGGTACGTCAGCCAATTAAAAGTGCGATTTTGATGGATCTGAACCGGCACCAAGCGTGGATCCGATTCGATTTTGTTTTGTGCTTTTGTCATCGGTCTATACAGAAGCTCTATTTGGTTCTTTTGGTTACTTCGTATTATCTTATATTATGTATGTTCGAAAAGAATTTAAATCACTTAATTAACTGAATTGTTTGCATTTTAAGATGATACGTTCAGTAGAATATAACCGCTTTACTTCAGCGGAATACGTTCATAATACTTTACTTCAAGAGCTGATCATAACGTTGTATTCCATCGGGCAAGCTCGTAACGGCAATATCGGGGCGGGTGACATATTCTTGGGTCACGTAGTTCTTGAGAGTCTCGAACGCCGGCGAAACCTAGAAAAAAGGGAAACACCATTACTACTATTATTATTATTGCTATCAACTATATTACTTACATACTACTTTATATTACTACTAATTATTATACTACTACACTACATTATCACTACTGCTATCATTATTACTACTTTCATTACTACTCCTAGTATTAATACTGCTATCATCACTACTGTCATTATTACTACTGCTGTTATAAATGCTTAAGTGTTTCAAACGCCGGCAAAATCTAGAGAGAAATCGTAATTCTTGTGATGTTTAGACGTTCTGTAGTACTCATGTTGGGGAGGGAATTAAAATAATTTGCTTATTCTCTTACTAATGCGAAGAAATATATGAAAATACATGTAATTCAACAAAACAACCATTTTCTACGCAACATATAGTAACACAGCGTACAGTGTCACATTTTCAGCTAATTAACATTGTAAAAACGGCGTACTTTTGAGGTAATAACGTTTCGCGCGCGTTCTTGTAAGCTCTGGATTTGCTCCTCCGTGAATCCGTCTGGGAAGCTAGTGAAGGTGGACCATAAGGGCGATTCTTCAGCTGTTTCCACGACGAATCTTCCCAGGCTCTCTCCGACGCCTTTCTGGAGATGGGATAGGGTCTGTGTCAGCTAGGAAATGCCAGGCTGGATCTATAGGGTGTGGATGTGTACGTCTCTCTCTCTCTCTCTCTCCTCTCTTTCTCTCTCTTAATCTATCTATCTCTCCCTCCCTCCTCCCTCCCCTCTGTCTCTACCTCTCTCTCCACACATACACATATATATCTTTATATTATTTATATATATGTATATCCTCCTCCTCCTCTATCTCCCCGTCCTCCCCCTCCTCCTTCTTCTCATCTCCCCGTCCTTCCTCTTCCCTCTCCACCTCCCCATTCCCTCTTCCCCTCCCCATCCCTCCTCCTCCATCTCCCCCCCCTTCCCTCTCCCCCTCCCCTCCCATTTCCTTCCTCCCCCCTCCCCTTTCCCCTCCCCCTCCCCCTTCCCTCTTCCACCTCCCCCATCCCTCCTCCTCAATCTCCCCGTCCTCCCCCTCCCCTTCCCTCTCCCCTTCCCCCTCCCTTCCCTCCTCCACCTCGCTCTCTCCCCCTTCCCCCCCTCTCCCCCTCCCCCTCCCTCCTTCCCACCCTTCCCTCACCATCGTAATCGCATGCTGGACGACGCCCCTGGCCACGCCCTCCCTCATCAGCGCCTCGACCTCCACCAGCTGCTGCGGGAGGAGGTCAAGGCGGCCCAGAAGCTTCTCGTAGTCCTCCGCCGTCTCGAAGACCATCCACGTGACCAGCCTCTCGAAGTCGACGTGCACGCCCTCGCTGTAGCTCAGGGGGAGGAGGAACCTGGGGGGGAGGGGGGAGGGGGTGTATTGCGGTGTTAAAGGTGAATATTCTTATTTATTTTTTAAAATCTTTATTATTATTATTATTATTATTATTATTATTGAACCGTATTCATGTTGACAAATGTGGAAAGGTATGAATGAGAACGTCAGAAATACATGTATTTCTGACGAAGATATAACCGAACCCGGTTAAATACATCTCTTGTGATGTGAAGATATTCATTCATACCTTTCCAGATTATTATTATTATTATTATCATTATTATCATTATTGTTATCATTATTATTTTCGTTATTATTTTTATTATCATTGTTGCTGTTATTTTTGTTATTATTATTATTATTATTATTATTATTATTTTATTATTATTTTTCATTATTATAATTGTTGTTGTTGTTATTATTGTTATTATTTATTACCATTATCACTATTATTACTCTCATTATCATTATTACTATTATTATTATTATCAATATCATTATGGTCTGAAAATGATGACCCAGGGGAAAAGAAGGGCGTGAACATCCGGTGGCGAAGGTGAATACTGATTTTTAGCTATGAAAGTGATGACAGCGGGGGGGGGGGGGCTTGTGTAGATGATGGTGGTTTAGGTAAATGCATTTTTTTGTGATGATAGTGATGACACGCGGAAAGATATTGATGTTTGTGATGAGAGTTGTCGCCAACAATATTGTAATAATAACCAATAATCATGATAATATCAGTTATGAAAAAGGGGCAATATGAATCATATCACTGGAATAATAGCAATAACTCAAAATAACAATAATATCAGTCATACCTAATCTGTAACAAGCATGTCCATTATAAAAAAAACGACATAAACTTCGTTCACACACACATACACACACACCCACACCCACACACACACACACACACACACACCACACACACCACACACACACACACACACACACACACACACACACACACAACACACACACACACATACTCACTCACACACATTCCCCCCACCCCCCTTACTCACCCCATATACGGATACCCATCGATATATGTTAGCACCTCTTCCTTCAGTATCCTCAGATTCACCTCGTCGGCGTGAGACAAGGTCATGTTGACATCGAGGATAGAGGTCACGCGGTCCAAAAACTCGTGACTCTTGGCCAGCCGATGCTCGTACTCGGCCAAGGTCATGGAGTCCAGCTGATCGTCGTAATCATGGATGCCGACCTGGGGGTAGGTGGTGGTGATGGTGATGAGAGTAGTAATGACGATAGTGATAGTGATAATAATAATGGAAATGATTATAAGGATAATGGTGAAGAAGATGATGATGATGATGGTGATGGTGGTGGTGACGGTGATAATGATAAAGATGATGATGACGATGTGATGATGATGATAATGATGACAATGATAACACTGATAACAAGAAGCACTCAGAGAGCGCATATCTTCGCCAGGAAAATGCGGTTTCTGATACAATAAAAAATATTCACACTTGAAGAATTACATTAAAATCACATCTTTCTCAAGTACACTGGTGACGTCCGTAAGCACAACCTGCTTAGTGGAGGTAATGTAGGTAATGAAAATAACAATAGTTACCCTTAATTCCAAGGCAATAGGGGTAACTGATGCAATCTTTTTTAAAATGCGGTCATGATCCGGATCACCGCCAAAATTTAATGACACTAAGGGCGTCTTCTGTGCGTGCCATAAAAGTTAATCCAGCATTAAAGTTTAATCCAGATCTCTGGTGCGCACGCGCGTTGGCAGCGTCCAAGATCAACTTTTAATGCACCTCTAGACCAGGCTTTAAGTTAGGCTAAGGGTCCCATCTGCTTCATAAAAATCTATTCAAATTTTTTTAAATTATCCTACTAACAAACCAATTAACGCTACCAAGACCATGACCTCCTTACCAGAGATATAAAAAAAATATTAATAATGATGAAAAGGAATAAACTATCAATGATCAAGTACTAAATAACAAAAAATAACCAATGATTCTTACAAACGAAGCGAATTCGGGAGAGCTAGAGATTCGCCAATCCCAGTAGTCCGTCATCAGCTGATCGACCAACGGCAAGTCCGCGCGGGTCGAAGAGAAACTCCCGACGCATAACACTGTTGGAAGAAAAGACCGTTGACGTTTATTTGTAAGTTCGACTGTTGGTCTTTTTCACGTACACATGCAGGCACGCGAAGGCTATGTATATAGATAAGAGTATACATACAAGCAAGAATATATGCAAAAGATTACATATAAGCATACATAAAAGAAAAAGTATACATATAAGCATACGCACAAGCAAAAGGTTACAAACGAGAGTATATATACTAGCAAAAGATTACATATAAAGTATACATATAAGCATACGCACAAGCAAAAGTTTACACATAAGGATACATACAGCAAAAGTTTACACATAAGGACACATGCAAGCAAAAGTTTACAAGCTAAGGATACATACAAGCTAAAGTTTACACATAAGGATACATACAAGCTAAAGTTTACACATAAGGATACATACAAGCTAAAGTTTACACATAAGTTAAAAGTTTACACATAAGGATACATACAAGCTAAAGTTTACACATAAGGACACATGCAAGCTAAAGTTTACACATAAGCACATTACATAAGGACACATGCAAGCTAAAGTTTACACATTAAAGACACATATAAAAAGTTTACACATACAGCTAAAAGTTTACACATAAGGATACATACAAGCTAAAGTTTACACACATACAAGCTAAAGTTTACACATAAGGATACATACAAGCTAAAGTTTAACATAAGGATACATACAAAGTTTACACATAAGGACACATGCAAGCTAAAGTTTACACATAAGGACACATGCAAGCAAAGTTTACACATGATACATACAAGCTAAATTTACACATAAGGACCATACAAGCTAAAGTTTACACAATAAGCAAAAGTTTACACATAAGGACACATGCAAGCAAAAGTTTACACATAAGGATACATACAAGCTAAAAGTTTACACATAAGCATACAAGCGTTTACACATAAGGACACATGCAAGCAAAAGTTTACACATAACATTAAAGTTTACACATAAGATACATACAAGCTAAACACATAACACATGCAAGCAAAAGTTACACATAAGGATACATATATATATATATATAATATATATATATATATATATATATATATATATATATATATATATGATATATATATATATATATATATATTATATATATTATATATATAATATATATATATATATATATATATATATATATATTATATATATATAACTTTAGCATATACTAAATACATCAGTATATCAATATGAGTGTTCATGGACAACCAAAGAAGCCGTAGTTGGAACACTCTGGTATAACAAATGCCTCTCTAAAAGAGCATACAATCATCGTTCTCATCTCACCCATTAACATCCCGCAGACGTGCATTGTGCTGAGCCTCTGGTCGCCGACGCACGAGTGTTATACAGTGTTGTTGCATGCAAGGCCTTTCCAAGTACTTATATAGACCTTGGTTGGATGTACGTTACCTGCGTCTGTGGCCTTTCACAAAGCGATGAGGTAATGCGCTCTCGCTCACAGCATTATCATTATTCTTTGGGAAAAACCATATGTCTATAACGACAAAAGGATGATAATGATTGTGGTGGAAATCAGGCTAAAGTTGATGGCGGTGGTAATGATTATTAGAGTTGCAGTAGTAACAAGAGTGAAAATATACATTATATTAATAGTTATATTAATTATGATACATAGGCGAAGGAATGTATTTTGAAGTGGGGGGGCAAAGTAGGTTACCCCCTAAAATAGCCTAGGGACCTGAGGGGTCCAGGGCAACGCCGCGGTGGGAGGGCACAGTGGGGGCTGCAGGTCCAGGGGCAGCGGTGGGAGGGCACAGTGGGGGAACAGTGGGCGAAGCAGGTTTAAAGAGATAAGCATATTGATTTTACGAACAAAATTTCAGACATTTTTATTTTGATGATATTTGACAAATTGATTATTTACTTCTGACCAAAATCAGTTATAGTTGCCATCTCGCTCTCTCAGTTACAGAATGACATTGTTCTCAACAACTTGGTAAGGAATTGCACTGTTTGTTTGCAGGGAATGTCCTCGAAAGGTGAGGAGTGGGGGGTGGCAACTGGGTTTCGAAAGAGAGAGAGAGAGAGAGAGAGAGAGAGAGAGAGGAGAGAGAGAGAGAGAGAGAGAGAGAGAGAGAGTGAGTGAGTGAGTGAGTGAGTGAGTGAGTGAGTGAGTGAGTGAGTGAGTGAGTGAGTGAGTGAGTGAGTGAGTGAGTGAATGAGTGAGTGAGTGAGTGAATGACAGTGAGTGAGTGAGCGAGAGGAGAGGAGTGGGGGGCAGTTGGGTACCAGAGAGAGAGAGAGAGAGAGAGAGAGAGAGAGAGAGAGAGAGAGAGAGAGAGAGAGAGAGAGAGAGAGAGAGAGAGAGAGAGAGAGAGAGAGAGAGAGAGAGAGAGAGAGAGAGAGAAGAAGAGAGAGAGAGAGAGAGAGAGAGAGGACGAGAGAGTGAGAGAGAGGACGAGAGTGAGAGAGAGGGCAAGAGAGAGAGTGAGTGAGAGAGGCAGACAGACAGACAGACAGAGATAATCTTAATCAAACCCTGATTATAAATAAGAGCTAAAAAGTCCATACAGTTTGCTTTATTCCCAAAGTACCACACTAAATTTCCCGAACAGCTGCACCTAATCTTGTATTTCAAGGCTTTTGCTTATATACTGATAAATGGCTTGTCTTTCTCTTACATTAAAAGTGGTGCTTATCTCAGTAACGAAATTATATGAACGACGGCATAGCTCCTTTAAAATCATCTTATTAACCTTCTTTTCACGGGATACGTGCAATCGCAGATTTTAAAACGTGTTTTGCCACAAAGATCTGTCACCATCGTCATTGATATAATTTCTTTATAGAAACTTTGTCGTCAACACTTTTTGTATGGTTCCTTTACTGCATATATCCTATATTGAAGAAAATTCAGTCTATAAAGGGCACAGTCTCCTACCTTCAAACTGCATGTATAGATTGTTTGGGCATCTTTTGCAAAATAATATATTTTTCGTTTCATAAGCCACTATTTAGCCCCTTTGAAATTATATATATTCATATATCCACACGAAAACCATTGTTTTAGGGAACAAGCTAAATAGATTTACTAGCAAAATTTACCCACTCTGGCAATCTTTATTAAATAAATATATATTTTCAATAATTATAGCATGCTTGTTGATTAGTTCTCCACAACTCAACTCAAAGTTTAACAGTGTCGGATCTTGGATTCAGAACTTACCGCTTTTTCAAGAAAACTAAGAAATATGATTTGATAAGTATTAAACGCGTTTCCAATAACATTTGAATATTGAAATAGTATTTTGTCTAACAAAAGTTAGAATAAAAGTGAAAGGAAGAAAACGAATCTCTCGCAAAGTTAACGTCATTCAGGAAACAGTGTTCGATCAGCTGATTGAAGTCAGGTGACTAGAGAAAACAAAAGGTACCAGTCACATTTTACATACACGTCGTAATTTATTGTGGCATAACTTTGCTTTTGTGGGTTAGTAAATTCGTATGTGATTACTATGTAGAGTAGATAATCATTTTTCCATCGAACAGATATTTTTCAGATGTTCTCGTGTCATATTCAGCTTGACTCTTACTTTTTTGGCAGTTATTCAGCCACAGATCCCTTTAGATTTCGAGGTACAGCACCTTGCATTAGACTATTATAGTCGCCTATTCGCTTTATGGTGTTATTATTTTGCTGATATTTGGTGTACAGTATTTATATTTTACCCCGCAATTTCCCAGGTACATTTCATGCCCTCCCCTGGAATTGGGGCCAAAAATATGGGGGTTCCTCGGCAAATGTCAAACATGTATGGGTAGCAGAGGGTGAGAGGATTTCATTGATATTACTATCATTGTGATTTGTCAATTAAAAGTATTCTGAACAATTACCGATTTCGGGCAGATACTGAGCCTGCTTAAAAACAAACAAGCCAAATAAACAATTACTGGATCTCTTTGACACTACCTTGACGAAGCTGTGGGAAATACCTAACAGCAATTTTCAGGGGAACCCCCTGCCTGTTCTACAAAATCCTTACTTATATATTAGCAAAATGAAACCAAGGTAAATATGTTTGTGATGCAGATTCTCAGTTCTGTAAACAACCCCATTCCAGGCAGGGGGGCTACAGTCTGCGTGGGGAACGCATTCCCTGCACAAGAATTCCTGCCTTGTTTTCCGTCTGGGAAAAATTATTTCTGTGGCTTATTTCTGCGCAGATTTTCTACCAGTTCACTAGGTTACCCGCGTGATTATTATGGAGGCTTGTGCTCTTTGCTTCTGTGTACAATGGAGATCTTTTCCATGTGCCTGTTTGCTTCTCAAACCTATTTTTTACTTCATGTTAACACATATTCAATAACGCATTCTTCTGGAGTGACAACAATAGCATTTCTATCATATATGGGATTGTATGGCAAGTCTCTGCTTTGTGAATTGAAAATTGCTTCTCTATTGTTTGCAGCGACGACTTTGTTAAAAATGATTGGTATAGTTTACTTATAGCAATGTGCGGATGTAGAGGGGAATAGACTCCGACCATCTTATAGAGCATAAGAAATAGTCAGAAACATCATAGTTTAAGCTGCAGCGGCTTAATATTCACTGCTAAATGATTAGAATATCCCCTGCATATCACTGCTCAGTTTAAGTCGCTCATCTTGTTTACCTTGCCAGGAAAAACAAGACACTGACCATATAACTCATTACTGGGATATCTTGAGTAGTTCATGTGTTACTATGCACTTGTCAAAATAATTGGATATCTTGAGTCAGTGTCAGTGTCTGCTGTTATACATTTATGCTATTCAAGTCTTTTATTAATGTTGTTATATTATAGTGAGAAATGTTGCATTTCCAGTGTTGCTTTGATTCTGGGTTATTCTTAAGAAGAAATAGACTAGTAACCATACCAGTTTGATATCTGAGCCCCAAAAAAGTGATTACAAAAGAAGCAATCCAGACTGTAGAAGGAAATGAACGAAAGTTTGACATTTCTAGGTATAAAGGTATTTGGTTTATTTTTTATTGTGAATGCAGCTCTATTATACCATATATACTGAGGTGAAAAAAATGTTTCCCAGGGGGTGCTGAGGGACAGAGCCCCCCATCAATGCTCCTCTTGCGCAATGCCTGAAAGTCATACCTAGTCACGGCAACTTAAATTGTTAGATTAGGTTGGTTTATAGGTCAGTACGGTTTTAAAGGAGGCTTGGAATGTGTGGATTCCTGTAAATTTTATGGGAAGATGGGTTGGATTCCCATAGAGGTTTTAAAATTTTGTCGCATTGGTCCATAGAATTTCAGAGATGGCAGGTATGTCCGTAGAGTTTCATTGGCTGATTTCAAGCATTTTTTGTGCTGGTTTTACACAGTTTTTTCTCTATTATTTTGATGTAAGCCTGTTTTACCCCATAATTTGCCAGATATACTTCATGCCCTCCCCAGCTATCGGAACTATTAAATCAAGGTTGTTGATGGAGAAATGGTACTCACTCTCCTCGACGATTCATACGCAGAAGAAACAATACCAAGAATCAATGAAATCATTGGATTTCTTGCAGAAAACCTTCTTTTTTTTTAGTTGCTATTGGTAACAATTACCAGGTTATTTTTCTGCCTAATTTTTTATTGTCAAAACCAGGCTTCTACGTGCATATGAAAACTTTACAGTCTGGGTCTTGCCCTTACACCTGTCAGGTTTGCAAAGCTTTCACATAATAAGACTATTCCTTTTTATTATTTCCATAATGGAATCTCATCTGCCTTTCCATGGGTCCAGCCTCTATTGTAATATGATCATCTTGTACAATTGTTATTGACTTTGAAATACTTCTTGTTGGTGTCTTGTGTCCTATCACAGTCAACTACAGTTCTAATTGTCGCATTTGATTCAATGTCAGATTTTTGGACTGTATTATCCAGTTTTATATCCCACGTATATGTCATCTGTAACATTCAGTGTGGGATTTGCATTGTATTATCCAATTTAGTCTCATTTGGAAGGGTATGCATTATGGAGCTCCTTGTTATTATGAATTTTACAGTGTCTCCATTACCTGTGTTATTAGTTTATGAAAGAAAGTTTCTTTGTTATTATGAATTTTACAGTGTCTCCATTACATGTGTTATTAGTTTATGAAAGAAAGTTTCTTAGAATGTTATGTTCTCTTGAATAGCAAAGTCACATCCTTCAGTTTTGATGTTAGGCATCATTTCCAATTATAACCAAACCAAGCATACAATTAAGTTGGGCATCTTGCATATGTAGCACAATTTTGATATCTGTTGCCAGAGCATGAAGCAAGGAGACATGACATTGCATCGCATATTGATCAATTGACTTGATAAATGATTAAGGCCTTGCTTAATTCAGATTTTTTTTTCCTTTTACTCAAGTTATTATTTTATATATTCTTTATGACCATTATGTGAATTTTTCTCTCTAATAATCTCATATGATCAGGTCAGCCT